GAAACACTTGAAATCATATGAAATAGTTTGAGAAATCCTGAATGGTGTCGTATACGACACCACCTGGTTTTTTGTGTCCTGTTGTAAAGGCGGTATCATATACGACACCACCTGGTCTTTTGAGGACTGTGAGACCACCTGGTAGTTCCAGTGTTAAAATGAACTTTCAGACTACAAACGGTGATAAGAGGACTTCAACATTGTAAAATTCAGTCTATCATATTGCATATAATCAAAAATATTAACTCTCGCTCTCCTTTGTTCTCAGCTGCTCATAATCCAGCACGTAGACGTGTGCATGTTTTCAAACGGCAAATTCAAGAATGTGGTCGCACTCATCGACAGCCGCGAAGAGTGCCCGATCCGGCCGGGCACCACCCTCGACCGCTGCTACACGATGAGCCCTGCCCGCGGCGTCACCAAGAACTGGATCGCCCTCGAGGACTCGTACATGCGCAACGCCTCTTCACTTGCCTCCACCGTCGTTTGCAATTCACCCGACGAGCGCAATGTGTTCGCCATCTACGTCTCCTACTACGTCAAGGTGAAGTTGCTGGTCGGTACCATGGGCAGCAAGATCTCCGTCAAGCTGCCCTTCACCCTGCTGCCTTCTCACGTCGAGACCGACCTCATGGCCGAGCAGTATCCCGAACGTTACTCGCCCGTCCAGATGCTGGGCACCGAGCATCCGGCCCTGGCACCAACCGGTGATTTCGCACAGCGGCCGGAGCGTCGCGGCAGCGCTCGCTGCGTCGACCTCGAGTCGGAGCGCACGCAGTCGGAAACCTGACCCTCGCTATGCAGATCGAACGCGGCAGCGGCCGTCACCAGCGATAGCAGCGGCGAGCAGCGCCTTCTGGCGGATAGGCAGAGTGCGCCAACGACAGCCACCACCACGACGGCGCCCATCGAAAACGACCTCATCGACTGCCACAAATCGGTCCGCTGCCGCTATCGGCTGCAAAATGCGTTCTGCTGCATGAGTCTGCAAGATAAGCACAAAGAGAGCATTTAAAATTTAATGGCAGCGCATTGGCTTCACAGTGCGCTGCTGTCCACTGTACGCACGCTGGAAGTCGTCCAAAGAACTTCCCTCATAAAGAGACCAAAAAGTGGCAACTGCGTCTACGGCAGTTGACCATTATCATAAAATGGTGTTCAGGGGGCGCCATACCCTCTATACACCATGATGATTGTCAAAGTACCTCTCATGAAATGAGGGGTAGCAGTGCTGAGAAAGAATATATCGGATACCGGGTAGAAAACAATTTTCCGTATCTGCTAAGACTATAGTTTTGAGGTTTACAACAAATCTTTACACTCACATCATCAATTTGATCGACTTGCGTGAAAGCCGTAGGATGAAATTGGACCATACATTTCTATTCATAAATCGACTGTCAATTTATAGAGAGTAGACTCGGATAAAAGTCGAAATTTGGTAACAAAAAGAATCCATTATTGTTTCCTGCAAGTATACAACTATTATGAAGGATCAATAGCGTGGTAAAACGTTTGTAAACATCAGTAGGTAAGAGAGGATGAGATTGAGTATATTTTGCGTCGGAAGAAACGGTACCACTGACGCAATTCCATTAGAAAATCATCTAAAAAAATTGCTCTCTTTCGAGATGAGAACTTGATGAAATTGAAATTTATGTATGATAAAGTCAAATTTCAGTTGCATTGATATACTGTTACATTCAATGCGTCAACACCTTTTCGTGTTTTTGCCAAATTTATTCTCTTTAATATGCTCAAAAATCGTTTCCAGTTCCGCCAGGAACGATAATGTAATGGTTACTACTTCCATCTAGAGGCATCTAATTGTAGATAGATGATTGACGGGCGGGTAGGGTCGCTACACCAGAACTAGGCCAAGGAAATCTAATCTGTCTTTGCATATAAATCTGACTTCAGTCGGTTTATACGTGAAAGTATAGCATTAGACATATCCTGACTTTCATGTCCCTACTTTCGTACATCTTCCACCACCGCCAGATGTCAGTCACTGCTCGGAAACACCTAACATCGAAAGAAAGAGACTCAATAAGATGAACCATTATTGTCTGACTAAATTTAACACGGGGTTGTTTAAGTACAGATTGTACAATTTAGGACTGGTACAACTTCGGCGTGTTAGCTAAAACGAGATGACGATAAATTCTTAAATTTTCATTCTTCTCACGAATCCATACACTCAGCTCGGCAGATTTAGAAAACAATGCTCGAGCTGATCAAGATATAGAATAAAATCTGAAATTTGAGTTATGATCAGAAGTCAGGACAAAGCAACTTATGCAAAAAATCAGTTGCGAAGTAATTTAATAAGATAAAATTATGATTTCTTTCAGAACCAACTCGTAAACCTAATAATTGTATTGGGCATGAAAGAAGCTTCAATTTCAGATATCAAAGATACAAGTGATATCAAATAAAATTTGTCAACAAAAAAATAGGAGCAAAATGTAGAATGATTTTTCTTTTGAAATAATCATTGACATCTGTTCCAAAAAATTTAACAATAAGTAAGGTACTTCTAATTCAGAAATAGAGACGTTGGCTGTTTTTTTTTTTTTATTTTGGCAATAAAAAACTATAACTGACTTGTACCTCAAACTGTATGACTGGATCCAACCTGACAAACTAAATTTTTTCAATTCTTTTTTAAATTTTTTTGTCATTAAGGATTATGAGAGCAAAATACAACGATATCAATTATGAATCGCCTTCTTATGTTTCCTTTCCAATAATTTGAGTGATACTTTTTTCTTTTGTTGTTCTCTTTTAAATACAACCGAAAACGTGATATCACTGCCTTTCTATAAAATGAACCGTGAAAATGTAAATAATGTAGATAATAAAGATACGAAATTGAGTAATTCATAAAAATAGAAATTGAGTACCTCAATATCAAATATTTTGTCAATTCTCGAAAATTATAACTTTGTCTGTCAAATGTCTTTCATTAGAGTAAAAACGAGTGACTTATTCTCAAATCGTAAATTTTCAGTTCCATTTAATCAAGCCCCTTTGGCAATGAATACGAGCTGAAAATAGGAAATCGCATTTTAAACTGAAAAACGACCTAAGTTAGATTTTGCGACTACAACTCAAGCGCATAATTAGTTCAATTTTGACTTCATTAACATTTTAGACAATCATTGCAGATGAAGTAAGCATCAACTCATACGATGCCATGGTCTATTAGACAATTGTTAGAAACAATTAATCAATATTTTATGTAATATTGCTTGGACTTTAGAAAAATGAAGTTTTTGACAATGACTTCTTTTTTACTGAATTTTATCTAAAAAATGTGCAGTAAGAATGATGTTTTATCAAAAGAATAATAAAAAAGCAATAGGTATCTAAAATTATTGTTCTATTTGTTCATAAATATAGCTCCTGATTTTTGGTATATGTAGAATGAAACCACAAAAGAGTAATTTTTTGCAGAATAACTTTTTAAGCAAATCTTAATTACAATTTGCATCAGAATTCCTCGATACAAGTCATAGGTACTGCTAAATATTAGAAAATGAGATTTTTTGAAAAATTTTTAATCTTCAAATCTGAATTTCTACAAACGGAAAGGTCGATCTTAAAAAATAAATACATAATTAAAATAATTATTTCAATCGCTATTCGTGAATTAAATGCTTCCCTAACGTAAGAGAGTCTTCCTCAAAACTTCATTAAATCGTTTATAAAACGTTAATAGTGAAAAACAAACACGAATAGTGTATTGTTTTTTTCTTACGTTAATCTTACCTTCAGACTACAAAACATTGGAATAGTGGACAGCAGAAACTGATGAAATTCTGAAGAAAGTACCGTGGAG